CGGCGGCCTTCAGCGCCGTGTTCGCGGCCTCCAAGGACGTGATCTCCTTCATGCCGTCGGGCCGCACGTCGTAGTCGACCTTGAGGCCCTCGACGAAGATGTCGAAGTAGACGTCGTTGCCGTCGACGTCAAAGGTTGCCCGGCGCGTGACGCGCTCGCCGCCGTCGTCCATGATCACGTACGTCGCCGGCGCGCGGGCCTTGGCCCACGCGCCGGCGACGGCGTTGTCGTCGATGACGCGGAGCAGCTCCAGAGGTGCGATAGAGCCGTCCATGACCACCGGCGGCGGCGGCGCGGGCGCGGGCGTGTTCGCCGTCGGCGTCGATGGCGCGTCCTGCGTGTCCGCCGTGAGCATGGGCGTCGGCAGCGCCGGCGGTGCGCCGGCGCGGGGCTCCAGAGGTGCGATGGAGCCCGCCGCGTCGACGCCCGGCGGCGGCGCAGGCGCGGGCGGCGGCGCGGGCGCGGGCGTGTTCGCCGTCGGCGTCGATGGCGCGTCCTGCGTGTCCGCCGTGAGCATGGGCGTCGGCAGCGCCGGCGGTACGCCGGCGCGGGGCTCCAGAGGTGCGATGGAGCCCGCCGCGTCGACGCCCGGCGGCGGCGCAGGCGCGGGCATGGGCATGGGCGTCGACGGCGCGTCCTGCGTGCCCGTGGGCGTCGGCGTGGGCGTCGGCGTGGGCGGCAGCGGCCGCGCGAACACGATGTCGAGCAGCGTCTGGTCGGCCTTGGGCAGCGTCTCGAAGATCAGAAGCGTCTTCGAAGTTCAAATAGAGGTAATGATGTGCTGAATATGTTGAGGAACGAGGGCAGCATCTGGTGGTTCGCCGACTGCGACTAGGAGCCGCGTGATCGGTTCGCGCAGCGCGTCAAAGACCGCGACGACGTTGTCGTCGCGCGTGTCGTCCTTCAATAGGTGGACGGACTGCTCGATCGTCTACTCGAGGTCGTACTACGTGCCCGGCGTGAAGAGGTAGTCCTTGGTGTCCGTCGCGAGCTTCAAGTAGTACATGCGCTTCCTGTCGAACACCTTGTTGACCGGCGCGTGCGTGTGCAGCGCGTAGACCTGGGACGTGCTCTTGAACACGAGCTACTAGCCCGCGGACTTCTGGTACCACCAGTCGGTAGGTCGGCGCCTGCGAGGGCCGAGACAGGGTGTCATGGGCGTGCTCGATGTCTCAGGACACAAAATTATCGAGCCCCGTCGACCCTGTAGACCCCGCGAGCCCCGCGGCGATTCAAAGGCCCGGCGACGGCCGCGCGCGTCGAGGCTCTCAAGATTTTCGTGTCCTGAAGCCTCTCAGCCCCGGACGACCATGCAAGGCGCGCGCAAAACATCTCAGGACACAAAAATCCCACTCGCAGCCTCTCGAGCGCGCGCCCTCCCGAAGACACCCCGCGAGACGCCGCGCGCTCGCAACCAAGCGCTCGAGGAGGCAGCCCACGTCTTCGCGGCGCTGGCCGATGGGGTGGAGGACGCCCCCGCGGCCTTGAGGCGCTGCCGGAGCGTCGCCTCGTCCCACGCCATGGCCCCCCCGCTATCGGAACTCGCTAGCGGCGGCCCCGAGTAGTACGAGGACCTCGCGTTTTGCCTGCCACCCCATCTAGATTTATATCCCCTTGCCTTTTGGCGCGCTCTCACGAGTGCTTTCGAAGCGAGAGGCCATGGCTGTTCTGCTCCGCGATGACGACGTGCGGGCGTGGCTGGGCGCCAGCTGCAAACCAGAGGACGCGACGCTGGCCGCGGCGGATGATGTCGGGGCAGCGATCGTCGTGGGCCAAGTCCTGGATTGTGTGTTCGGGGCTGGCGAGTTCGCCCATCTCCAGCCGGGCAGCCCCGC